GTATTTATCTTGTAGTAAAAAAAGGGGGTATAAATTGCAAAGTGTGTACACCGTCAAACCACACAGTGTGTGTATTTATGTGTATGGCTTTTCGCAGGCCAGTAGTGGACTGTTGTCTGTATGCGGGGTCCGCTTCGTGGGAGGATCTCTTGGCCCGAGGGAGTTGTGCTTTAAGTATCAAGACATGAAGGAGTTTGTGCGAATCGAAGTCACTGCGGGACCTCCGGTACTGATAAAGCTACTGAATGAGCCGGAGATGGTATGCCACACATTCACAACCCGAACACTGAGCTTCATGGGTGAGAAGAGTTTGACTAAAGCTGGTCTCTTTAGCCTCTCCAGGTCGTGAATGGCCAGGGCTTGGACGCGCCGCTGGTCGTGCTGCTGTGTGACGAATGGGGAAATCCTTCACCAGACCAGCGGATTGCAATCGTGATGAAGACTCTGTTGCCACAGTTGAAGGTACATTTGAGGGAGGAGAGGTCTGTGGATTTATAATGGCAAAAAAAAGACTGTACTTGAAAAGTCCTTTAAAAAAAAAACAACAACTTTAACAGCCATGTGCAGTGTCACTAAACTGTCATAAGATTCTAAATTTGATCGCTTCTCAATAATCAAGTTATTACGAAGTTGACAAGTAGAGTGTTTAACTATTATGAATGATCAAAAACAAATAATTGCATGAAAGTGAAACACATTTCTTAGTTGTGCTCGTCTGCATCATGGTTCCTATTGTGTGTTCTGTAAATCTAAAAAAATTTTTTTCGATTTTACTTGAGAACTAATATCCTACTGTTCAACTGAAGTATTGCTATTATTAATAGTTTTTTGTTTTTCTCTTTTAGATAAAGTCTTCGGTATCATCTCTGTCTGTAGATTCAGAAGGAAAAGCTTACTTCATATTAGAAGCTATAAGTGGTCCAAAGTAAGTACAGACTTAACCCTTTAAAGCCTACTGTATTATCTCTGATACACACATTTCTAAGGCCTCTAAATGGTGCAGCTGATAAACCTGTTGCACACAATCTACTGTCATGCCTTCTGTCGTCTGATTGATGCTTCAGACGTTTTTATCAAGTAAAAATCCTTTTAGTATAATTGCACAAATGTCTAGGTTCAGCCCGTGCTTCACGTGTTTTTTTGTGTGATGTCTTTACTGATTTTTATTAGGGATGCACTGAAATTTTGGGCCAACGGAAATTATCGGCCAAAAAAAAAAAAATGGCATTTTCGGTTTTTGGCCGAAAGAGAAAAATGGCCGAAAATATATGGCAAAGCAAAGTCCGCTCAAATGACGCGCAGACAGGAAATTTCTATGTAGTATACTCGTTCCTGTTTGCAGTAGAGCTGCTGTAGCATGGCAACGCTGGTAAAATGACGCTCCCCTCTCGTGACGCAATGCTCTGCTCACATGTTCTGATAATAATAGCTTTGTAGGACTATACATTATTTGGATAACTAGATAAAAAAGTTCAAGACGAAAAAAAAAAAGTTTAAAGCAGTTGTAAGCCTGAAGTTTGAAAATTTAGATAGATGTGGATGACATGATTCTAGCATGATTAGCATGTTTTTAGCATGATTAGCCTTTTAGTAGCATATTGCAGGCATGATTAGCAAGTTACTAGCATGTCGCTAGCATGTTTGAAGCATGATTGGCATGTTACTAGCATGTTGATAGCAATATTAGCATATGATTAGCATGTTGCTAGCATGACTAGCAAATGATTAGCATGTCGCTAGCATGATTAGCAAGTTGCTAGCATGATTAGCAAGTTACTAGCATGTTGCTAGCATGATTAGCATGCTACTAGCATGTTTCTAGCATGATTAGCATGCTACTAGCATGTTGCTAGCATGGTTTGGATGCTACAAGCATGTTGTTAACATGATTAGCATATGATTAGCATGTCGCTAGCATGATTAGCAAGTTGCTAGCATGATTAGCAAGCGACAATGTCACTAGCATATGTAAGTCAAAGTAAAAAAAAAAAGTTATATCTGATTATGTTGCATTAGAACTGAATGAAAATAATATATTGATATGTATTATTAATATATTTTCTGTCCAATTTTATTGTTTGACTTTCAATTAAAGTGTGGTTATTTTATTGGCTTGTATTTTCTTAAATTCAGTATCTTTAAAATGATTGAGTTATTCTAACAAAATGTATTTAATATTATTTAACAAAATAATAAAAAAACTATTAAAAATCATTTTCGTTCTTTTCAGCCAAGTGCATCCAGAATTTCCGGCCCAGAATTTTCATTTTGGTGCATCCCTAATTTTTATAAAATAAATAACTTTGATATTGTTATTAATATTTCAAGATGAACACTTACTGGACTGAAACAACTTAGGTTTACTTAATTATCAAGAAATCATTTTTAGAAAAATCACGTTCAAATGTGAGTATCAAATACGATCATCAGGCTTTCGAGGAACGTTTATTAGTTCATCTCCTTTACTCATCATTGTATTGCGTTGCATTATATATTTTGAAACTACAGAGCTTTGATCATAAAACTAAGCAAATATCATAACAGGTCTTACTAAGACATATTATTTGGAGATATGACGACTGATATTTACATAATTTTATGCAAGTAGTCGGTTATACTGTTATAAAGATCTTATTGGTTTACATCTCAAGCTTTCAGGATTTCATCTTACGTTTTAGCAATAAATATCAGCATCTGCACCAAATTGCACATTTGTGACCCTGGACCCCAAAACCAGTCTTATTTTTCGAAATTGAGATTTATAAATCAGCTGAAAGCTGAATAAATAAGCTTTCCATTGATGTATAGTTTGTTAGGATCGGACGATATTTGGTCGAGATGCAACTATTTAAAAATCTGGAATCTGAGGGTGCAAAAAAAATCTAAAGTCTTTCATTATCTTTGTCTCTTTCTCTCAATTTCTCTTTCTTTTGTAGAGGGGAGCATCAGCTGGAGTTTTGGGGGTCTTTTAGCAGGAACAGGATTCCTGGGCCTGTAGTAAAACTAAATGTGATTCCTGATCCCAATAAACCCGTTGAACTCTCTATCGAATATGACAGCGCTGCCACCTTATGTGCTGGGGACATTTTCCCAGGTGTGTGTGGAAGCATGAAAGCATAGTACAGGCCTATATCATATTGTAATATTAGTATAGAATAGAGTGCATATCATATTTTCTGGTGTCTGTAGTGTTTACTGTGGTCGTGATGTCTGAGGAAGGCACGCCAGTGAGAACCGTTTGCCCGGCGTACCTCTCGATGCTGCTGTGGAAGGGCACGGCATCAGGCCTCAATCCACCCTCTACCGTGAGTCACCCGATCTGCTCTTTATTGTGACACATTACTCAAACCACAAGAGTGAGTCTCTCAAAATGTGTCGAGATTCATTTCTGAGCCCAGGAACTAATATACTACTAAAAATATATAATACTAAGTCCACTGAAGTAGTAACAATAAAAGTATGCACCTTATTTACTCCCCCTAAGCTGCTAAATATCAAAATACTATTTTATTATTTAGATCACATTTGTGTAAACTTCTCAAGTTCATCATCATTTGTATAAGCAAATAATCCGAAAACCTTTGGAACGTCACTGCAGTAAAAACTATGATTCTGTAAGTTGAAACAGCAGGAGAATATGATGCATTTGTGCCGGATTGCTGCCATAAGAAAGAAAAATGTCTTTTATCAGGTCAAAATCATGTTATGACAATAATGGCCAATAGATGGCTGAATTGTTCTAAGATGCAACCTGCTTTGATTTTATGCTTCGAAATTATACAATTGGATATTTATTTAGCCATAATCCAACTGTGTCAAGGTGTGTGTGTGTGTGTGTGTGTGTGTGTGTGTGTGTGTGGACTCCACCTTTAACTCCTGTTGTGTCCAATAGTAACATTCGGGCCAATCGCACACTGCTAGACAGCTTGAATCTGAAGATCATGGTGAGTTTCAGTCGCTGCTAGAGATGGAGATGATGGTTGCATGTTTACACCACCTGTATCTTTTTTTTATATCTGCTGATTTATTTGCAGCATTCATGTGATGTATTTCTGCACAATGCACTTTTTTTCCTGTCATTTCTGAATTCTCAATAACATTTAGATCAAATACTTTTTCTTACTTTGCAGGACCAATACAGTAACGCTGCTGGTGAGGGTTTAGATGGAAAAGGGATTGTTACAGTTTGCTAGACAGCTTGAATCTGAAGATCATGGTGAGTTTCAGTCGCTGCTAGAGATGGAGATGATGGTTGCATGTTTACACCACCTGTATCTTTTTTTTATATCTGCTGATTTATTTGCTGCATTCATGCTATGTATTTCTGCACAATGCACTTTTTTCCCTGTCATTTCTGAATTCTCAATAACATTTAGATCAAATACTTTGTTTCTTACTTTGCAGGACCAGTACAGTAACGCTGCTGGTGAGGGTTTAGATGGAAAAGTGATTGTTACAGTTAAAGGCACAGGAGACGTGGTGCTTCCTTTGTTTGAGAATGGAGAAACAAGTGTGGCATACAGCCTCACTAACGGGGAGACTCTCATTACTGTGAGTGTTTGCTGTCTTTTGTTGGTGTCAGTGTTATTTTAGTACTATTCATATACAGGATTTATTCATATTTTGAATTAGCTTTTATATTTTATTTTCATTTTTTAACTTAATTTTAAATATAGTAAGTTGATGTGCTTTTGTTTTTTTTAATTGGTTTTCTTTTCTAAAAATAAAGCTGAAAAAGAATAGAAATATTTTTAAAAAGAAAAATGGCAAAAGCATATAAAATTACTAAAGCTACAACTAAATAAAATAAATTAAAGCTAAATAGAAATATTTTATTCAATTAATGAAAATTATCTTTAGTAGTTTTAGTTAACAGTAACAACACTGTTATTGTTGTCAATGTTGATAAATTCAACTTTAGTTCAGCTTCCTTGGGTAATTTGAGGAAATATAAATAAAATATGGTTTAAAACACTGATTTGTTAAAAAAAACATTCATATTAAATTTATTGTGATAATTTTTTTATAATAATATGCACGATATTATCGGAACGTTATCAAAATCGGCCGATAATGGCTTAAAATGCAAATATTGGCATTGCATGAAAAATTATGCCGATATGCCTTACCGATAAGATGAGTGACTCACATGTGCTCAGGGTGTGATAGCGATAAGATCACGCCAGCTGTGTGCTCATTCTTGAAGCAAACATAATGCCCGTCTGGTTAGGCGTTTTATTTACTTAGGGGGCGCTGTTGGCCTACTTGTAATAAAATTAAAGTAAAATACACAAATAACATTAACCCTCTGAGGTCGATTAACGCGGATACGCGTTTTGAGGCATCTTCTCCTGATCACACCGAAAATAACTTAAATTACACTTTCAGTTTTGATCTTACAGATAAGAGCAATACATCAATCGAATCTGTAAAGGGTCTACTTTTATTTGTATACACACATAATAACAACAGAACTTTGTGCATTTATAAAATAAAGAAAACAAACAGGGAGTGCTGTCTGCCGCCTTGGTCTGCGTAATCTTTATTTGGAGACGCGTCATTAAAATGAAGTGTAACTCCGCAAATACTCAACAAAGAGACATGAGGGATATATCCATAGAAAGCTTGACATGTCTACTTTTAAACTAAGCAAGTCTTATCGAAAGCAAATATTCTGTGATAAAGTAATCCATATGAAACCAACGCGATGTCCAGTCTTTCACATCTACCTTCATTATCTCTAATGCGACCACGCCCACGCGCTGAGCGCTATTGATATTATAATCATCCACGTGAAGCGCGCAGCGTGTAAACGCCCACATCACAGCAAGACCTCAAGCTTTACTGTTCGCGTCGCGCTGAGAGGAATAAGACAGAATTCACCTCAAGAAGCTTTGGATTACCTCAGGAAAAAACATGAGTAAGTCTTTTTTATTAACCTACTTGTATTAGTTTTCACATAACTTGTACACATTTTACTAGTTAGACTTTCTCCAAACTATAATTCCTGACTAAATGTATAATCAAGTGAAACATTATGAAGTTTCATTCACAGCATCTAAATGTCACGATGCCAGGATGTTTTTTTATGTTCTATAACAGACAGAAATACGATATAAAAGTAATATGAGTTATAATGTCACTAGCCTAATGTCAGTAAGAATGATTAGTCAAAACTTTACTATGATAGGATCATCTCTGTTCACGAATATAGCCATACATGTTTATAACGATAGTTGTTGGATTGTATAGGCCTACATACAAAGCATGCTTGTGTTTATGAATGTAACTAAGCTTCTGTATATGAAGATCTGCTCTGGTGTAAATATTTTGAATGTGTTATACCCGTGTCTTATGGAGTAATGACGCTGAAATGTTTGAAACTGTTTTAATTTTGGTTTAGGACTGTGGCTGCATCACCGGCATCTTGCACAAGAAAGGCACACGCACGTCGTTCAGTTTTGAGTTCGCTGGAAAATCACACTGAGTAAGTGCACAGTATAGTAATTGTATTATTCCCAGAATATGTGGTAATATTATTTGTGGTTGATAGTGTTAAAATGTTGTTTTTTTTTTTTTTACGGATTATGAAAACTTAAATACGAGGAGCTCTAAAAGATTTTCAGAATTTGTACAACTCTTTTGCTGTAGACAAATGTTAAATATTCAAATAAAATGTTAAGGATTGTTTTATAGTTTTTTATTTTCAAAGCTTTCAGTGTACTCTCATTATAAAAGAACCTTATTGTTTATTTAATTCTCAAAAGAAAGTTTTTGTTAAAAACTAACCAAACTGAAAAATAATTTGTTTATAATCTCTGTCCATGAGAGACTTGTTGTTTCCAAACAAAAGAAAATATATCGCTATCGGCCAAAATGAGTTGAAAAATATCGGCATATCGGATATTGGCAAAATCCAATATCGTGCATCCGTAAATAATATAATTTTTAAAACAACAGGACAGAGAAACTCTTAATTTAGTTTTGCATGTTATAGCTCACATATTGAAGTAATGGACCCCTTTTTTTCAGTTATGTGCGGCATTCAGCAGTTGCACATGCACACAAATGTAAGCTTTTCAGATGAAATACACAACTGCAGAGAAACACGGTTCCAGTTCCAGAGAGATTTGTGCAAGTTAACTGAAAAAAAAATGGCAAAATGGACTGGTGCAAAAAAAAGGTGTGATAAACAGTAGAGCATTGCACTAGCAGTCAATGAGTTAAAAATGCATGAAGATACAAAAAGCTTAAAATATAAAAAAAAAATGCATGAAGATAAAACCATCTTTCAAATGCATAAATATGTAAAATCCTTTCCTTTTTTTATGCATGCTCTTTCTATGGGGTCACCAAAACTGCATTCAAGAGCTCCAGTTTAAATTAAGAACTTGTTATTGTGGGTAAATGGGAGTTATTGTTTGTGTCCTGTAGGATTTGGCACTTTTGGAGAACAGTCCCGGTGTAGATGGAGCCGAGTACATCCTTCAGTTTAATCCTGAGATTCGGCAGACTAGTGTTACCATCGCTGCATACAGCCTGCCTTTCAGATTCTGCAATGGTTAGTCAGCAGACACACACAAACCAATATCAGTTACTTAATGACTGTCACAGTTAACCACAGTTAACCAATCAAATTCAGTCCATATTATGATAAAATTAAAATAAAATCTATACTAAATAAGATAAGAAAGCAACAAAATCCATGTCATAATCAAATCCAGTGTATCATATGTGAAAAGCAATATTTGTTTAATATGTAGTGGAATTATCACAGTTCTATATAGAAAGTAGAAAATATAAGTCTATCCAGCTGTATTTGCATACATACAGTATATGCACATAAAGCGATATATGCTATATAGCAAATCTAAACTGCTTGATTGTTTATATCATTGCAAAACGTCAACTGTTTTATCATCCAGCTCTAATCTGCTAAATGCGACTATAAGTCATGAAGATATTAAGATGTTATAAACAAATACGAGTTGGGCACCTATGAATGTCACTATAGGATCATAATTTTGCGAAAATGAACATTTGCTGAAAATGTTTGTTTCTTCATCAGATTTGGAGAAATGTAGCATTGCATCACTTGTTCACCAATGGATGCTCTGCAGTGAATGGGTGCCGTCAGAATGAGCGTCCAAACAGCTGATAAAAACATCACAATAATCCACAAGTAATCCACACCACTCCAGACCATCAGTTAACATCTTGTGACGATAAAAGCTGTGTGTTTGTGAGAAATAAATCCATCGTTAAGATGTTTTAACTTGAAACCAAATGCGAGTCTATCCATAATATTGCTTTCTCCATTGAAAAAGTAATCTGGTCTGAATCAGGAGAGAAATGTGCACAGATCAAGCACTGTTTACTAGCCAAAACAGCTCTAAAAAAATATGTGGGTGGATTTTGAAGTGAGAGACAGCAGGAGATGAACTATTTCACTGCAGGAAGTGTTATTATGGATTATGGGTATTTTGGATGGAAGCAATGGTTTAAAATTAAAACGCCTTGATGGATTTATTTCTCACAAACATGCAGCTTTTCTCTTCACAAGACATTAACTGATGGACTGGAGTGGCGTGGTTTACTTGTGGATTATTGTGATGTTTTTATCAGCTGTTTGGACTCTCATTCTGACGGCACCCATTCACTGCAGAGGATCCATTGCTGAGCAAGTGATGCAATGCTACATTTCTCCAAATCTGATGAAGAAACAAACTACATCTTTGATGGACTAGAATTTCACCAAACTGTGACTATTCCTTTAAATGCTTACTAAATGCTAAGTGTCTTAATTTGTCAAACTAATATGATATTTATTGTTATTTAGGGAGTGTAATGGGGGTGTACAGCAATCAATTTTTTTATATTTTGATCTCTTTCAGATGTAGAACATCAGAAAGTCATTGTGACTCTCAGTAAGAAGAAAGATCGCCTTTCCCAAACCGTTTTGATATACCGGGACGTCTTTGAAACCAGTAAACAACTGAAATCTGAACTTGAATGTAGGCACTGCGTATTTTATTTTAGTTAGTTAAATATGTGTTTATTTGTTATTCATTTATTTTTGCTCAAGATCATATCTGACTTATATTTGCTTGTGTCTACAGGTCAGGTGCAAGATGCGACTCTCAAACTAAATGAGCTCAAAGCAGAGCTCCAAAAAAGTGGTTTCGACGTCTCCGAACTAACCACGGTGAGTCTATTGCTGTTTGCTCTTTGTAGAAGCATGCATTTAATTCCCGCAATCACATATGTTTTTGTCTCTGTTTGTGTATCTGTCCAGGTATCGGCAATAGACAAAGTTATAAATGGCAAGAAAGCAATTTTGACCAAAATGGAGAATCAGCCTCAGCGTAAATGCAGCATTCCTGACCCTTTCAAAGGCAGCCCAAAGGTTCTGGGAAAGGTGTGCCATTGATTTTTGTATGTATTCGTGTTTGCATCAGGTGATCCAGTCACAAGTCAGATGGGTGAAAGGAGTCTTGGAAATGATTACTGACTAATTGTCATAATTATAACTAACTCATAATTATGACAAGAAGTTTAAATTGACATAAAAGATCGAAATTATGACAAGTCATTATGACATAAGTCAAAGTTATGTCATACTAAGTCATGACAAAGTTGGAATTTACGTAAAAGTCAATTATGAAAAGTCAAAATTGACATCAAGTCTTAATTATGACATTAAGTCATTATGACAAACTCAGTTTTATTTATGACATAAGTAAAAATTATGACATAAATCCTTATGACAAAAGTCAAAACTGATATATAACGTCAATGACGGTCATAATTGACAAAGCTGAAATAATGACAAAAGTCGAAACTATGAAGTAAAACAGCAAAACAAAAAGTAAAATCTAGTTTTAAAGTAAATTATATCATAATTTTGAATTTTTGATTTACCAAATCATATTTTTTTTCTCTTATGTGGCGGAAATAGTCTCCCATACGTGGGTGGCGATGAAGCATGGTTTTCAAGCACTTTATTTAAATGCATACAATCTTGAACCCAATGCAGTTTAATAGTCACTGAACAAGGAATAAAACAACAAAATTATTTGAATATCTTAAATGCATATGACATTTGTTACCCATGTAAAACTTGTAATGAATGTTGTGTTATGAAAAATGGCATGCATCTATCTTGCAGAACATCACATTCATGATGCATAATCCTGTTGGATTTATTAACCAAATAATGAAATCTAAAAATACGGTAATCTGTGAAAGTAGCATGGAGCGAATTAAGCATATAACACAAATATAGAGTTTTGTGCTTAAGGTTTATAGGCAGACTGGGAATGAAGGGGACGTTTATCCAGAAAGGTTGAGAAGCGCTGTGAGAATCCGAGGACTCTTTCGAAGATATTAGTTGATGTGGTGATGATTTTGTATGTGATGATTTGCAGGTGGGTCATCTGGCACAGGTGGAGGATGATGATGCCGCGAAGGTGATCTCTTGGCATATTCTGGGTGACATGGACTGTGTGGTTACTGAAACTACATCTGCTGCCAAGAGAATCTTTGATGATACGCAAGGACGACAACAAGTCATTCCCCTCGAGACGGTCTTCTGGAGACCAAATGACAGGTACTCATGCATGCCGTCTCACATAGCCTTTATTAATATTTTGAATTTGTTTTTATTTTTTCATTTTAATAAAGGTATTAGTAATTTTGTTGTTGTTTTTTTTTAATGTCTATAAAAAATGTGTTTTAGTTATTTTAGTACATCAGGTTACACAAAAGCACAATCTACTGTATCAGGTTGTTATGTTCAAGCACTAAATATAAGGTAGAAGAGAAGAAAATAGTGAAATTACAAGAGAAAATCTACCCAAGTTTCCGGCATGCGTCACCGGAGAGATGTCAGTCACCGGAAGTTATGATGTTTTAATTTAAAAAATGATGAGGTCAAAAAACAGAAACATTTGCGTGGATAAATTCACTCACAATACGATCTGTAACATGCATGAAAATAAATAGGGTGAATTTTAATCTCCTGACGAAATTATGTAACTGCACGTTTGCTGAATGCCTATGATATATGTGATATATGTGTCTTAAGTCGCTGGGGTATATTTGTAGCAATAGCCAAAAATACATTGTATGGGTCAAAATTATTGATTTTTCCTTTATGCCAAAAATCATTAGGATATTAAGTAAAGATCATGTTCCATGAAGATATTTTGTAAATTTCCTACTCTAAATATATCAAAACTTAATTTGATTAGTAATCTGCATTGAAATAGCTGACTTCTGCTCTCAGAATGAATTGTTTTGCACGTTTGTTCAGTTTCATATGTAGTGAAACTTTTTACAGTTACTTTTTTTTCTGAGAGTAGCCTTAAAGGGATAGTTCACCTGAAAATGTAAATCCTGTCATCATTTACTCACCCAAGCCTGTATGAATTTCTTTCTTCTGTTGAGCACAAAAGAAGTCATTGTGAAGAACGCTGGCAAGCAAGCAGTTGCTGGTAACCATTGACTTCTGTAGTAGGGGGATAAAATACTGTGGAAGTCAATGGCTACCAGCAACTGTCTGGTTGCCAGCGTTCTTCACAATATCATCTGGTGTGTTGTCACGCCATCACGTTTTCCTAGCTGCACGTGTCAGAGTTAGACGTTATCACACTAAAGGAATTAACCCTTTAACCAAGTATGTTTATTTTGTTGCAGCTGTATGCTTTTTTCTATGCATGTTTTTTCATGTGTCTTAGGCCTCTGCCTCACATCAGGAATGGCATGTTTCTCTTCCAACCCATTGGTAATCCTGTGTTTGTCAAAGATATACTCATTTTTCCTGAGCACGTAGAAAGCTGCAATAAAGGTAAGCTAAGAGCACAAAATCTCCCAGAAAGTATTTGTGTATTTAATACTGTATCTCTGTTGTGCTTCGGTTGTCAGTTGACACCCAGAATGATTTCTTATTCACGAGTAGGGATGCAACGATTATAGATTTTGTTGGTACGATTATTGTCTGAGGAATAATCACGGTTTTACGATTATTATGCATTTACTCATTTCCCAACATTATAATGTATAAAATCACATGAACACTCTTTAGATATTAAAGTGTTATTTATTGCTGGCTTTTGAAAATAACAAATGGAAATAGATCCCAAAAGTTTTTAATGTTTTCAGTTTGTACCTTCTTTACATTTCTTTTGGACCTGGGGTAGAGAATTTGGAAACATGGTGAAAAAAATATTGTTGGTTTTTACTTATGAATAATACTACAACAGGGATAGTAAATAACAAAGTTACTGAAGTAGCCTAGCTATTATTAATATTAACTTTATTTGTCCCACAGGGGAAACTGTTACTAATGATGGAAATAAACTGAAATATTGTAATCAACTGTCATCCATACGTATTCATTTTAATAATCTTTATAATAATTCATATGATTTTACATGTGGCCTGAGAAAATCATGCCTATTATTTTGGTTTGTGAGATCGGAGATCGCGCTGCGCACGTCTACAAACATTCAGGAGGACACAAACTTCTTGAGAATGCTGCCCTGTGACTTTTATTAATAAAATAGATTAATAGCCTACTGGAGAGACGCACAGACGCAGGTAGGCTAATCCACACAGGCAACTGTTACCTCTCTCTCTAATAATTAATTCAAGTAGCTAAATGTTATAATTAATTCATTCAAATAAATGTGATCTTACCGCACTATTTCATCTCTTTCTGATCTGAAGCGGGCAGAATGCTGCACTAACGAGTTGTAGCTTCGCGTCAGGTGGTTCTTATCTTCACGTCGTGCATTAAAATCGTTCAATGTACAGCAAGCCGTGCATTATCCCTTATGTATTTGCTCTTTAGCAGCAGTTTTTTACAGCAATATTTATATGACACCCTGGTCATTCTTGGTGTACCCAAAATGGTCCCACACTATCGACAGGCATTTCTCTGGTGGAAATAAAGCTTCGCTATTTGGTCCCGCTGTCAGTTCATCTAATGCATGTAGTAGCCTCCGTGCCTCTGATAAGCACGTCATTTTAAGCTGGTGCACCGCTAGTGTAACTTTTTTTGTTTTGCGCAAGCTGCTACAGTGTAACAGAAACACTCGGTTTAGCGGAACCTTTACGATTAATTAACCGTGACGTTTTAAAGCGCGGTTAATCGCGAAACCGGTTAATCGCTGCATCCCTATTCACGAGTTATTATTAGTTGGTTTAGCCTATTTAACACAATATATTATTCTTTTCTTTTTAATTATGAAAATTATTTAATTTACTACCTAATGTAACAATTTAAAACTCAATTCTGTTATTTATAATACAGGGATTCTGTGGGTTCTTAAAAAGTCTTAAATTTAGTTGTATCAAATTTAAGGCCATACAAAGTCTTAAATTGTATAAGAAAGTCTTAATTATGATTTCAGGTGGTCTTAAATTTGGGAACGGTAAGACAAGAATTGAGATACGGCTTAATGTGACGATTAAACTTCAGAAGGCTATGATTTGATTAAATAAACACGAGTGCTGCCGTTCCGAAAGCGCCTCCTGCTGGCAGAGAATGAATTTGCATTTTTCAATAAGTCTGGCTGCTGTTTCTGTTCAGACCAGTGTGAAAATCAACCCATTTTACGCCGCAAACACATGCCAATGCATTATAAAAATGTTATTAGTTTTTGCTTAAAACAAGGAAAAATATCTCCCAATGGGGCAAGAAAAATAATCTTGTTTTGCCTATGAATTAAGATTATTTTTATTATCCCATTGGCAGATATTTTTTCTTGTTTTAAGCAAAACGTAACAAAAATTTGATTTTTTTTCTTCAGAAAACGAGACTTATTATTATAAGTCATTTAGCTTCTTAAGTAAATGCATCCTGATTCAAGAATGTTTAGATTTAGATTGATCCTAGAAAACAAGACAAAAGCACTAAGTAAATTTATATATTTTTTTTTTTGCAGTGTAATTGTTTAAATTAATATAATTGATACTTTTGACTCATCCCTTTTCTTAAATATGGTTTAATGGCTGAAATGTGAAGTTTACCATTTTATAAAACTTTTTGTTTTTGTGAAAACTTGTAAATCATGATTTTTACAGTTTAGTATGTTACCATAGACATTGCTCTCCCCCGCTCATATGATATTCATTTTATTTGTGCAGGTGTTAAAAAGGTCTTAAAGTCTTAAATTTGGTTTTAAAAATCCTGCAGGTACCCTGTAATCAATTATTTGGCGTTTACAGCTGTCATATCCCGCGATGATTTTTTTGAGCATATCGCCCAGTATTCAAATGAGCTAATGGTGTGTGTGTTGGTGTGTGTTTGCGTGCGTGCATGCATGTGTGCGTGTGTGTGTGTCTGTGTGCATATGTGTCCGTGTGCGTGTGTGTCTGTGTGTGTGTGTGTTTTGGATTTAAAAATCATCTGGCATGAAACATGCATGAAACATTTTGCAGCCTGCGGATGTTGGCAGTGCATGAGTATGATCAGGGCAAACATTGAAACTACAAGAGGGACTGACGTGTTCTGACTCTTTTTCAGTTTTTGCAAGTCTTCTTGGAGACACCATACTAATTGATGACTTGGATTCTGCTAATGATTATCGTCGGGGGGTAAGACACTGATTGTATGTCTTCGTGATGAAGAAATTTCAAAAATTATTTTTTTTTCCTCCATCATGCATGAACTGGTAAGTTGATGGGCTATTTTGCTTCCATAACATCTCTTATTTCAGACTAATGGAAAGAAAGCATCCAAAATACACATTCAAGTGTTTATTAAACTTCATCTATTTCCATCTGTATATTTCATTTATAATGCACAGGGATGCAAACTTGTCACCTTTCGGCGAAATTCGCCGTTTTAAATTCAAAATGGGTAATTTGTGTGATTCGTGTAGATCCAGTGAGTGCGTGTCTTTTTCACCCAAGATGAGTTTGCATCCCTGATGCATATCTTTAAAGGCTGTTTTTTTTTCTCCACTTAAGTAACACTTACATACACCAGAATTTGTTTTATTACTCTATATTCTGAAGGTTTTTACAGAGGGGTCATTTGTTTGATTATATATTTAACGCCTAGAACGTGATTTTTTTTTTTTTTGTTCTGTCTTTTTGACTGTATTTTCAGATTTATGGAGTGATAAAAAGAGATATCCCAAATCCCCTCTATAAAAACCTTTAATACAGTATGTAAACAAAATGCCTGCAAAACCTGGCTTAGTTGGAAAATAGTGCATGTTTAATTAGGTATTGCATCATTTGGATACTTTTCCGAAAACTTACAAAATAAAAAAATCTTGTTGAACTGTGATTAATCAAATGGGGAGATACTGTGATATCGATTTGTTAATTTTTACCCTATCCACTTGTGGTGTCTTGCCTTAAAAACACTTAATGTGAGCTTCCTAAGAACACTATGTGTCTTTTCATACTCATGGCTGGAAACTGTCTTGTATTTGGTTGTGTGTGTGCAGAGTTACTGCAGCAGTGTCGTGTTGCAATGCAGAAGGCCTCTGACGTCCGGTCTGATTATAACAGTCATTTGGAGCACCTGCAGAGTCCTGAGATGAAACAGAAACAACAAGAGCTCCAGCAGCAAGAGCAAGAGTTAAGAGATCTTGAGGGATCTCTCGGTATGTGTTTCCGTCAGTGTTGCTTTCTGAATGCAAAACCGGACTTTTGATGATTGGCACAAAGTTCTGACAGATCTGTTTGCTTAGTCATTATGGGGTACAAAGTACATTAAAAGTGTGAGAGGTATGCATGAGGTTTAAGTGTGAAAAAAGTATTTTAGCATAAGGCTGCAGCATAAAAAACGTGAATGTTTTCTTGCAAGTTTGCGTTCTTTTATGCTATTGATGCTTTGATGGTTGGATTTCAAAATATGTTGAAACGCAATTTGTAATGCAGCTCATAAATGCGTTGCATTGTGCATTGCAACAGGTGTTAACGTACTGTAAATAGCCTTCTTTTACATTAAATTCTCCTTAACTGCTCTCTTAATAAAACTGAGAATATTTTGTATTCACAAAAATATTTCTCAAGAAACGTTTTTCTTAGAGCACAAGAAACAGAGCAGAACAGATCAAGACAGGCTATTTAAAATACACAACACATTAAAAAACAAAACTCACGTCAAGCCAGTTGCAACTTAAGTAGTGTATGTGCTTACGATTATTACGTAGCCTGCAGGCAGCGCAAAAAGACGGTCTTTGAGGTGTTTTTCATTCAGTTGATCATCAAATCATTGCAAGAACCCCCATATAATCAGATAAAACACCACACTTAAGGAAATATTTGAGGACTTAAGACTCTTTCAAGAATTGCACATTCTTCAGCCGTCTATGCACGTCTATGCAAATGCTGACAGGGATTGAAATGTGTGTGTGATTGTGTGTTTGCAGCCAGAACTCCTGAGCAAATGTACGCTGCAAGAGTGAAACGAGGACTTGAGCCGGAAACGCCCGAGCCCTCAGTCCCTGCTAAAAGAGCCCGCCGCAAAACACGCAAACTGGGTACATCAGAAGTCCTCTGACGTCTTTGCTATTAATTCGTTTGTTTCTGCCTCGTCTGTTGCCTTTTCACTGACATTAATAGCCTGTTGTTTTGTTTCTGCAGATTCATTGAAGTAACGCAAGCTGACAGCTGATGCAATGTTTTTTTTGTGAGTTTATCCAGAGTGCCAAAGATTGTTCCATATTTTATGTTCTTTGCAAATCTTTTTTTTTTTTTTTTTACTTTTCACTCGTTACAGACTTCTCTGATTTAAGCAGAAAGCAAAAAAAGTTTAATAATTGGACTGTGTCCATAATATATTTTGTATCTTTAAGAAAAAGAAAAAAAAATGTTTTTACGCTTATACCAAGTCTGGTCTTCTTTCTTTTTATGCAACAAAACTTAAAGCAATCACATGCTCACCGAAATCCTATTCAGATGGGTTTGTTTTCCTGACACTTGTCTATTAAGTCCTGTGCATACTTTGGTTTTTGCACACAATGCTGTGTAGCGGATGCATACAGCTTAAACTAGCATTTCAACACGTACTCCGTTAAAACATATGCTTTTAAAACACTGTGGTGATGTAATAACTGATTTTTGTAAGTTCTCGTCACCCAGGTTCCCTCCACAATAACTCGATACGATTTGTCCATCGGCTTTTGGAGGATTGCAGAAAATAAGCTCTGTGACCGCAAACGTTTATGACGCTCGCACGTTTTGTTCACCATAATAATCTTCACAACTTTCAGAAATTTTTAAGCTTAAATACAATAACCAGATATAAAAAGCTAAGCATTTTCAGTCTTTATTTAAAAGCTTTTCCCCTGGAATTTTGAGTTAGAATAGTTTGCAAGAGCGCGATTGTAAACACAATGAGGCTGTGAGTGCGACCAATGAGAAGATGAGTTTACATGTTCGGTGTGATCGTGTTTAATGTCCTGACAACTTCTGTAGTCCCATTTAGACACAAGTAAAAGCTTTAATAAAATCACAAGGTGGTATTACTAATGTATTTTATGTTGTAGAATAAAACATGAAAATATTGTGCGCTTATAGACCTTATTTCAGGCATTTAAACAAAACTCCAATTTAACAAAAAACCCACTGACTTAAAGGGTTAGTTCACCCAAAAATGAAAATTAGGCTGTGTTTTACTCACCCCCGAGGCATCCTAGGTGTATATGACTTTCTTCTTTCAGACGAATCTAGTCGGAGTTATATAAAAACCTGTCTTTGATCTTTCAAGCTGTTTCATGGCACTCAGCGGGTGTTGCATGCCTCCGTCCAAAAGAACTTAAATAAAAAGCGCCCATCCATAAAAAAAAGTGTCTCACACGGCTCCGGGGAGTGAACAAAGGCCTTCTGTAGCGAATCGATGCGTTTTTGTAAGAAAAATATCCATATTCAAAACATAATAACTGAGTGTCATGAAACAGCTTGAAAGATCAAAGACAATTTTTTATATAACTCAAACTGGATTCGTCTGAAAGAAGAAAGTCATATACACCTAGGATGCCTCGGGGGTGAGTAAAATGCAGCCTAATTTGCATATTTGGGTGAACTAACTCGTTCTGGGTTTTGGCCTGCAAAAATACATCATCCCATTGTTTTGTCTGAAATCGTCCTCTATACCTTAATGCAGTGCACTATTCGAGGGAACCGACACCATAGTGGACATTATTGAGTGCTCTCTCACACACTCGGTGTCTGAAATCACTCGTCATTTACTATTTTAGTGGGAAATAATGTATGATGGTGTCCGACTTATTTTTCAGCATGACAGCCGTTCATTACCATAACAAACTGATGTCCTTTTTTGTTCTTGTTCTTGCAGTTTTTCCCAGTAATAAACTTAAAAAAAGTTTCACACAGTTTTGGCATACAGAGTGCCATATGGAATAATTTTACAATATACTGTATATATATTTTTGGTTCACAGGAAAGCTCAACTTTGGCATATTTTTGTACTACATATTATACTAGTTTCCTATGTGCTGTTATACCTTTTAATAAAATGTGGTAGACACCAAAAGTTAGCCTATATATTTATGCATAGTTTCCTATTACTTTATGACTTTATGACTGTGTTGTATCAGATGATCTTTTAAGATTAGTCTCCAGAATCTTCAAAGATCGAATCGGTCATGATTTGAAACCTGTCATAATGGGATTTAAAAATATTGCTCTAATCATGTGACCCTGGACCACAAAACCAGTCATAAGGGTCAAGTTCTCCAAATTGAGATGTATACGTCATCTGAAAGCTGAATAAATACGCTGTCCATTGATGTATGGTTTGTTAGGATTGAGACAATATTTTGGCTGAGATACAACTATTTGAAAATCTGGAATCTGAGGGTGCAAAAAAATCTAAATATTGAGAAAATCATCTTTAAAGTTGTCCAAATGAAGTTCTTAGCAATGCATATTAGTAATCAAAAGCTAAGTTTTGATATATATACGGTAGGAAATTTACAAAATATCTTCATGGAACATGATCTTTACTTAATATCCTAATGATTTTTGGCATAAAAGAAAAATCTATAATTTTGACCCATACAATGTATTTTTGGCTATTGCTACAAATATCCCCCAATGACTTACAAATCGCAATATCACAAATAAGATGCACTCGATAAGCTGGTGTTTCTAAAGGATATCTGTGGTTTCATCAGAAAATCTATTTCTATTGTAATAATGTCAAGTTTTTATTTTGTAATTTAAATGCTTCAAGAAAATTTCCATTTGGACCATTTAGGATTGGTGTCACACTTTAGTTTGGGGACCAAATATCACTATTAACTACGACTTTTGCCTCAAACTGCTTATTAATAGTTAGTAAGGTAGTTAAGTTTGGGTATGTTTTGGGGGGGGGGGGATCTAAAATATGATCATGCAGATTAAGCTTTATAAGTACTAACAAACAGCCAATATGCTACACTCTAAGAAATGCTGGGTTAAATACAACCCAGTGCTGGGTAAAATATGGACAAACCCAGCAATTGGGTTGTTTTGACCCAGCTGTTGGTTTAAATGTTGAACCCAACCTTCTAGGTAGTAACCCAACCACTGGGTCAAAACAACCCAATTGCTGGGTTTGTCCATATTTTACCCAGCACTGGGTTGTATTTAACCCAGCATTTTTAGAGTGCATTATAAGATCCTTTGGATTTTCTAACCAGGAATTCTTAAAAAAAAAAAAGCCTCTGCTCTAAAGAAATGGCATAACTGTAGTAGCACGTGCAGGTCTAAAGCTGAGTTTAATCAGTGTTCTTTGGTAACTATTTGGGAGAGCACTAATGAAGCCGGGAACCTGATCCCAGTAGGAGGGGCGGGAGCTCGTGCAAACTCTCGCCACTGTCCCATCTCACTGCCATCATCACCACCACTCTGTCAAGAACCTGAAAAAAGCACTCTCTGAGCTTTATATAAACGCTTGGATAAGGCGCACGCTGATTGGAAATGAAGTGCGTCCTCTTAGGTTGCGCTCACTTCTGTGCAGCGCTTCTGTGGTTTAGTCTCATCAGCTTGCCTTTGACTGATGGGACTCCTTCGAGGTATAGTCTGTTCCAGGGCAGTGCTTATTCCAGCTCTGTATCGAGACAACGAAGCAAGTAAGTAGGCTAACCTTTTATTATGGAGTTGGCATTAGAAAAAACGGGATATGATTGTGACTGGACAGAGCTCATCTTGTCTAGTGTTTCCTCATTGGTTGTAATACAGTACAGCAGTAGTTCACTATTAGCTAATTATTTTCCATGCCTCCCAGAGAGCTACTAAGTAACACCTTGCAGTGTCCTTGTTACATGTACTTACTACAGTGGGCTAATAACAGTCAATTATGCATAATTACATGCACTAACCCTATATAGTTAGTACATGCTGTTAATTAATATTACTCAGTACTTAAATGAATAATTACACTGTAACAAGGCTGTTGTAAAAATAAAGTGTAACCAAACCTCAATGCACTTAATGCGAAACTGATCAGTAACTAAAAAAAATGACTAGCCCTACATTAACTTTTTAATTTGTTAACAAATATCCTACACGGATTGTTTACAAAATCAGTATTAGTACATTTAAGTACTGGGTAATATTAATTAACTACTTACTATATGGTTAGGGTTAAGTTTAGGGTAACTTGCATGTACTTGTGCATAATTAATTGTTATTATAATAGTAAGTACATGTAGCATGTGTAACATGGACACCTTAAAATAAAGTGTTACCGAAGTTTTACTATCTATATGCAGTGTTGGGGAAAGTTACTTTTAAAAGTAATGCATTACAATATTGCATTACTCCCTAAAAAAAAGGGAGTTTTTTATGGAAAGTAATGCGTTACGTTACTTTTGAGTTACTTTTGCGTTACTTTTTAAATATAAGCAGGGCTTGATTGTTTTTAATATAAGAAGTTCTATTTATAGCAAATATAAAAGCCCTTTCACACCAAAACGTGTAATGAATAAAGCTCAGGCTGAAGCAAAAGTAAATTCACGGCTGTACAGTAGAACACAGGAGAAGAAACACTCTTCAGCAATAAAAAAACAATGAAGCAAATAAAATGGGATTAGATACATTTGTGTTATTTAACATATTTAATGATTGCAGGTTTGCGTCATATTCTGAGTTTGCATTTCACTGTTTTAATTCATTTTGATGAATACTAAATCAGTTTTTTGTGAGTGGGATGAATTAATGCACATTCACATTTAGTCTAGCACTACTGTAACATCATATTTAGCGCACACAATGCCTCTGTACTCCTGATTTCTCTCAACATGGGGACAGGAGAGCTGTCAGTCAATAAATGAGAAAACAAAGTAACTGGCATTACTTTTTTGAAAAAGTAACTCCGATATTTTCTTGTAAATTAAAAAAGCAATTTGTTACTTTACTAGTTACTTGAAAAAAGTAATCTGATTACGTAACTCGCGTTACTTGTAATGAGTTACCCCCAACACTGAATATATGTATAATTCTGAAGAAATGTTTTTCTAGACCTTTTATCCAGTATTGAACGTCACCCTTTTTTGTTGGCCTATTCATTTTTTTTTCATAACATTGTTAGGTTATTACTTAGAGAGAAGACAGATTAGGACATTTTCTCACTGAATCACTATAGAGTCATGGAGACTACAGGAATATTAGGAGTGCAAACCTCCCGGAAATATATGGTTTCTCAGTGTTTCTCTACACCATTATGGATGGTTAGAAGATTTCATTTACTCTTGTAAGAATCATGACCCACTAGTAATGGCACAAGTGTTAGTTACCACATCCTTCTAAAGGAATTGCTAGCCATTCGGAACCGTATTCTACACTATAAGAAAAGAAAACCGGGAAAAGCATTGCAATTTTCTTCCAGGACATTATCAGTTAAGCTTACAGACATTCCTTTAACCATAAAGCAACAATGCAATGTATAATTCAAAATACAGATAAAACACCAGTGAAAAATTCATGTTAATATTCATATTGACACAGTATACATTGGGGCCCAGTTTTACAAAGTTTTCTTAACGTGTAGAGCATAGTAACCAACTAATAATGACTCAAGTGCTACTAAATCTGTCAGAAATTACCTCCCAAAACCTCAAAAGCTCACAATGACGTCAGTCTGACTTCAGGGAGTTCGCATTCTCTTCACTTTACTACTGATCCAAACAATTACCGTAGTAATTCCTACTGAAGTGTATTGCCCAGCTAACGAAAAAAATACTCTTTTAAGAACAGTTTGCTAACGTGCAACTGAAGTTTAGAAAATGTTACTTCTGGACGTTCAAAACCTCCATTTTAAAAAAAAAAAGCATTTCTTCTTGGTTATACAAAAGTTGTTAACTTGTATCATTATGCAAACATTTTGGGAATGCTTTTAAATGTTCTCTGAACGTTCTGAAACATTTAGAAAATGTTACATTAATAATGTTTAAATAAAACAAATTTCTGCATTATTAAACATTAGTAAACACCAGATAACTTTGAGTAAAAGTTGCCAGAACGTTCTGAGAACATTTCATGTTAGCTGGGTCTTTT